TCCGATAACGGACGAGACCTTGACCTTTAATTCTTGACTGTTATCTTAAACGGAAGAGTCTTAAAGGGACTCAATGTTCCAAACATTGGGAAGATCAAGGCAATAACAGGTCTGTGATGCCCTTAGATAACCTGGGCTGCACGTGTGCTACAATAACATGCACAACGAGTACCAATATCGAAACGATGTTGTGAATCTTCAAAGCGTGTTAAGGTGGGGATTGTCGGTTGTAATTGTCCGTCATAAACGAGGAATTCCTAGTAAGCGCAAGTCATTATCTTGAGTTGATTTCGTCCCTGCCCTTTAAATCTGTTATGAACATAGTCGGTTTGGCTCTTCTGTTGGTATTCTATGCTGTTATTTTTCAAAAATATCCCTTATCATTAGTGTGCGCCGTCGTCTATTTTGATTACCAACCTTACGTTTGATCTCCAATCTACCTACACATCATTCCTCCTCTCTTAGATCATTGAGTAAGGTTGTTCTGATTACCTCGCATAAAGCGTTAATCCATTCCTCCATTGATTCTCCTTGCTTGTGGACAATAACCTTAGCCCCAGTGTAATTCGCTAGGAATTCGAAGACTCTATTCTGAACATCAATATACTCCTCACTCATTACGTCAATTCCATTGTTCCGAAGGATCATTCTCTGTAAGCCCCCTTTAATATCGTGTTCAACCACCATGAAAGTGTTTAATTGACGAAAGGTGTTCCACAATTGAGCAGGTAGCTGGGCAAACAAAATCTCGAAATCCTGTAGTGAATGTCGACGATTCAGAATGTCGTGAACCATTCTATATGCTAAAGAACTCAACGGTCCTCTGTCATGCAGTGTGTTAGGTTTCAGTTTACTAAACTGAAATAACATGTAGGCTAATTCCAGTACATTATTGAGATCCTTATCTCGAAATACGTTGTACTGTATGCAATCTTCCGCGTAGTCACCAACGACAACTGAAAATCCTTCTCCAGCCAGTCTCTGTAGAACAGTTGTCTTACCCAAGCAAGCTGTGCCTTCTAAGATCAAGGTTTGACCGAACTCCTTAAACATAATTTTACTCTTCGTAATAAAATAAATCATAAGAAGGAGACAAAACAGAGGACGACTATCCATCGATCCATTCCACTGGCTCATCACGAAAAGC